ATATTACTATGTATCTTTTCTTCTAGGATTTTTATGGTTTTGAGTCCAATATTTAAGTCAACAGAAACATTTCAGACCAGAAGGAATTGGCATTAAATATTCAAAGTGATGAAAATCAAGGACCTACAACCAAGACTACTTTACCCAGCAAGGTTATCTTTTAAAATTGAAGGAGAAATAAACAGCCTCCCAGACAAGAAAAAGCTAAAGGAGTTTATTACCACCAAATCAGCATTATAAGAACTGTTAAAGGGCCTTCTTTAAGAAGGAGGAGAAGGGGAAGAAAGAGGAGGAGGAGGAGGGGAGGAGGAGGAAGATGATGAGAAGAAAACAAAAACAGGAATATAATTAAAAGAATAAAATGGCAATAAATGTGTACCTATCAATAATTACTTTAAATGTAAATGGCTTAAATGCTCTAAATAAAAGACAGATAGCTGAACAAATAAGAAAACATGACCCATATACAGGGTCTCCCCAAAAAATGTACACACACTTCAATAGCTAATAACTCAACTGATGTTTCTTTCTTTTCAGATTTAACCCATTAGAATGAATAATTATTCAAAGGGTGAATACATTTTTTTGGGACACCCTGTATATGCTGTCTACAAGATACCCACCTCATAATAAAAAGATACACACAGACTAAAAGTAAAGGGATGGAAAAAGATATTTCATGCAAATGGAAAAAAAAAAAGCTGAGGTAGCAATACTTATATCAGACAAAATAGACTTTTAAAAAAGACAAAGAATGATACTACATAACGATAAAGGGAGTAATTCAACAAGATGCTATAACGCTTATAAACATTTATGTACTCAACAGAGGAACATCTAAATATAAAGCAGATCTTGATGGATATAAAGGGAGAGATGGACAGTCATAGTAGGGGATTTTAACACCCTGTTGACATCAATGAATAGATCTTCTAGACAGAAAATGCCTAGATTAAGTGGCCTTAAATGGCACACTAGATCAGATGGATTTAATTGATATCTTCAGAGCATTTCACCCAAAACAGCAGAATATACCTTCTTTTCAGTGCACATGGAACATTTTCTAGGAAAAACCACACATTAGGACACAAAACAAATCTCAATAATTTAAGAATATTAAAATAATATCAAGCATCTTCTCTGACTGTAATGGTCTGAAACTGGAAATCAACCTCAAGAAAAAACTGAAAAACACACAAAGACATGGAGGCCAAATAACATATTACTAAACAATGAATGGGTTAACAATGAGATCAAAGAAGACATCAAAAGATACCTTGAAACAAATGAAAATGAGAGTACAACAACTCAAAATCTATAGGATGCAGTGAAAGCAGTCCTAAGAGGGAAATCCATAGCATTACAGGCCTATCTCAAAAAACAAGAGAAGTCTCAAACAATCTAACTTTACATTTAAAGACACTTGAAAAAGAACAAACAAACCCCAAAGTGAGTAGAAGAAAGAAAATAATAAAGATCAGAGCAGAAATAAATAAAATGGAGTCTAAAAAATCAATACAAAAGATCAATGAAACCAAGAGCTAGTTCTTTGAAAAGACAGAAAAGATTGACAAACCTTTAGCCAGACTCATGAAGATAAAAAAGAGAGTGTAGCAATAAATCAGAAATGAAAAAGGTGAAGTAACAAGTGACACCAAAGTAATACAAAGGATTGAAAGAAAATATTACAAACAACTGTACGCCAAAAAATTGGACAATGGAAAAAATGTATAAACTCCTAGAATATACAAGCTTCCAAAACTGAATCAGGAAGAAGCGCAGGATCTGAACAGACAGATTACAACCAGTGAAACTGAAGCAGCAATAAAAACACTCCCAACAAAACTTCCTGGACCAGATGGCCTCACAGATAAATTCTACCAAACATTCAAAGAAAAACTAACACATCCTTCACAAACTATGCCAAAATATGCAAGAGGAGAGAAGACTCCCAGGCTCACTTTACAAGGCCAGCATGATCCTAATTCCAAAACCAGATAAAGACACTGCAAAGAATGAAAATTATAGGGCAATATCCCTGATGAACATAATGGATCCAGCAATATTTAAAAAGATCACACACCATGATCAGGTGGGATTTATTCTGGGGATTCAAGGTTGGTACAATATCCACAAATCAATAAACACGAGACACCACATAAACAAAATGAAGAATAAAAACCATATGATCAGCCAGGCTCAGTTGTTGAGCATCGACCTATGAACCAGGAGGTCACAGTTTGATTCCTGGTCAGGACACATGCCAAGTTGTGGGCTCAATCCCCAGTGTGGGGTGTGCAGGTGGAAGCTGATCAATGATTCTCTCATTGATGTTTCTTTCTCTCTCTCCCTCTCCCTCTCTGAAATCAATTCACACACACACAAAAACACTGATCATATCAATAGACAAAGAAAAAGCACTTGACAAAATCCAGTACTCATCTATATACCAGTATATAAAAGCCTAAGTAACCAAATGACTGGTTGACCCAACGCTATGACATGCACTGACCACCAGGGGGAAGACTCTCAATGCAGGAGCTGCCACCTGGTGGTCAGTGTGCTCCCACAGCAGGAATGCTGCTCAGCTGACAGACCAGCCCCAGTGGCAGCCACTCCCTCCCTCAGTAGTCCTGCAGGTCCAATCTCTGGAGAACGTGCCAGGCACCGAAGAAACAGTGCTTCTGGCACAATCCCGACAGCACCACTGGCCTCCTGGAAGTCAGCCTCTGGCACCGTGGCTGCTTCCCCTCCCTAGATGCTCCCCAAGGAAGAAACCATATAAAAGCGGCTGCCAGGTGGCTCCTGACAACCGGTGTGAACATCAGCAGGAAGGATCCAGATCCTGGGCCAGCAAGGGTGTCCCACCGCCGGCCTGGAGGGCCGATTGAGTCCCAGTCCCCCCCATCCCCCTTGGGACAGGCACCAGATGCAGGGCTCACTGTTGGGGAGCGCTGCTGTGGTGGCGCAAGCCTCTCTCGATCAGGACTGACTGGGTGCGAGCCCGTGGCAGGAGCAGTGGGGCTGGGATGAGTGGGAGTGGCAGGCAGGAGTGGCAGGTGGCATTGGACTGCGGGTTTCGGCCCAATCCCTGCAGGCCACGGATAAGAAAAAGCTAATAGCAAGAACCTACAACCTAGATTACTTTACCCAGCAAAGCTATCATTCAGAATTGAAGGTCAGATAAAGAGCTTCACAGATAAGGAAAAGCTAAAGGAGTTCATCACCACCAAACCAGTATTATATGAAATGCTGAAAGGTATCCTTTAAGAAGAGGAAGAAGAAGAAAAAGGTAAAGATACAAATTATGAACAACAAACATGCATCTATCAACAAGTGAATCTAAGAACCAAGTGAATAAATAATCTGATGTACAGAATGAACTGGTGATTATAATGAATCAGGGACATAGAAAGGGAATGGACTGACTATTCTTGGGGGGGAAAGGGAAATGGGAGATGCGGGAAGAGACTGGACAAAAATCGTGCACCGGGAAGAGATTGGACAATAATCGTGCACCTATGGATGAGGACAGTGGGTGGCGGGGGTAAGGGCATGGGGTGGGGTGGGAACCGGGTGGAGGGGAGCTATGGGGGGAAAAAAGAGGAACAAATGTAATAATCTGAACAATAAAGATTTAATTTAAAAAAAAAGAAAAAAGAAATTATAAAACTAGAAGAAAACATAGGCAGTAAAGTCTCTGCCATTTTTTGTAGCAGTATTTTTTTCTGACATATCTCAGGCAAGGGAAGCAAAAGAAAAAATAAATGGAACTACATCAAATTAAACAGTTTTTGCACAGCAAAGGAAACCATCAACAAAATGAAAAGATGACCTGCTGAGTGGGAGACTATAAATGCCAATTATACATCTGATAAGGGATTAATATCCAAAATTTATAAAGAACTCAGACAACTCAACATCCAAAAAAGACCAAACAACCCAATTAAAAAACACTTCCCTCCCCAAACAACACAAATATTTACTGCTTTTGGCGGGTTGCAGGCAGCAGCCCTGGACATTCACGCATGTCCTCGGGGCACAGAGGCAGCTGGGGCCGACGCGCATGGAGGGATGAGCGCCCTTGCTCACTGGCCCACAGCTGGTCGCCGCTGAGTTATTCCCGTCCTTTCTCTCCACCTGGGCCTGTTTCCTGAGCACCTGGCGCCCTGCAGGAGTGGCCGCGGGAGCCCCGCAGCGCAGTAGAATCAACATCATTTAAATGTCCATACTACCCAAAGCAATCTATAGATTCAATGCAATACCTATTAAAGTACCAACGGCATATTTTTCTCAGACCTAGAACAAACTCTCCAAAAATTCATATGGAATAAATAATTCTCCCCTTTAGCTGCAGCAATCCTGAAAAAGAAGGAGGAATCACAATACCAGGTATCACAAGTGGCTATATTACAAAGCCACTGTTCTCAAAACTGCCTGTTTCTGGCACAAGAACAGACATATAAATCAATGGAACAGAACAGAGAACACAAAAGTTGACCCTAGCCATTATGCTCAATTAATATTTGACAAAGGAGGCAAGAGCATACAATGGAGTCAAGACAGTCTCTTCAATAAATGGTGTTGGAAAAATTGGACAGATAGATGCAAGAAAATGAAACTAGACCACCAACTTACACCATACACAAAAATAAACTCAAAATAGATGAAAGACTTAAACGTAAGTCAGGAAACCATAAAAATATTAGAAGAATCCATAGGCAGCAAAATAGCAGACATCTCTCACAGCTATATCTTTACCCATACAGCTCCTCAGACAATAGAAACTAACGATAGAATAAACAAATGGGACTACATCAAAACAAAAAGCTTCTGCACAGCAAAAGAAACCATCAACAAAACAATAAGAAAGCCCACTGCATGGGAGAACATATTTGCCAATGTTCTATCTGACAAGGGTTTAATCTCCAAAATTTATAGGGAACTCATACAACTTAACAAAAGGAAGAAAAACAACCCAATCAAAAAATGGGGCACAAGATGGCAGCGCACAGCGGGGTGGAGGCAGTACCTGGGCTCGCCTGAGGGTCCCCTTTCCAGCTCCTGCTCTGGGCGAGGAGTGCAGACTGGAGGACAGGGGCCGGGTGGGACAGGGCACCTGCGAGGCGGGACCACAAGCCCCAACCTCAGGGATGAGGGCGCTGCTGCCAGGTCTGCAACGCCAAGCCAGGCTCCTCCGCCAGCTCACCTCCGCCCGGAGATGCCCGGCCTCTTCCCTCCCCGACAGCCCGCCGCCCACACCGGGCCTCCCGGACCCCGTTCCCCGCACTGAGACCCTCACCCCTCACCCTTCTTCCGCAGACTCTCGATTCTCGCCCGGAGTTGAGACGTTTCCTTCCCTTCCAGGTTCACCCCCGACCCGTCCCCCCAACATCGCAGCCTTCCCGCCCCCTCACCCGGGAGCTGGGCGGTGTTGGCCCCGCCATGGAGGCTGTGTACCTGGTGGTGAACGGGGTGGGCCTGGTGCTGGACGTGCTGACCTTGGCGTTGGACCTGAACTTCCTGCTGGTGTCCTCCCTCCTGGCCTCCGTGGCCTGGCTGCTGGCCTTCATCTACAACCTGCCCCACACTGTGCTGACCAGCCTGGTGCACCTGGGCCGCGGAGTCTTGCTGTCGCTGCTGGCCTTGTTGGAAGCCCTGATGCGGTTCACCGTCGGGGGCGCTCAGGCCCTGTGGACCCTGCTGTGCAGCTGCTGCTCCGGCCTGGAGGGCCTGAAGCTCCTGGGGCACCTGGCGGCGCACGGGGCCTGGAGGAGCCGGGACCTCCTGCAGCGGGGCCTCCTCAGCGTGGTCTCCAGTGGCCACGCTCTGCTGCGCCAGGCCTGTGACGTCTGTGCCATCGCCATGAGCTTGGTGGCCTACGTGGTCAACAGCCTGGTCAACATCTGCCTCATTAGCACTCAGAACCTCTTCTCCCTGCTGCTGGCCCTGTGGGATGCAGTGATGGGGCCACTGTGGAGGATGACGGACGTCATGGCGGCCTTCCTCGCGCACATTTCCAGCAGTGCTGTGGCCATGGCCATCCTCCTCTGGACCCCATGCCAGCTAGCGATGGAACTCCTGGCCTCGGCTGCCCGCCTCGTGGCCAGCTTTGTGCTTGTCAATCTCACTGGCCTGGTGCTGCTGGCTTGTGTGCTGGCGGTGACGGTGACCGTGCTGCACCCGGACCTCACCTTGAGGCTGGCCACCCAGGCCCTCGGTCAGCTCCATGCCCGGCCATCCTACCACAGGCTTCGAGAGGATGTTACGCGGCGGTCTCGCCTCGCACTGGGCATGGAGGCTTGGCGCCGAGTCTGGAGCCGCAGTCTGCAGCTGGCAAGCTGGCCAAACTGGGGAGGCGCACCTGGGGCTCCCCAGGGTGGCCCTAGAAGGGTGCCTGCAGCCAGGACCTCACAACAGGACACTCTTCCTGAAGCAGGGCCCAGATCAGAGGCAGAAGAGGAAGAAGGTAGAATGGCCAGAGTGACCGCTGCCTGGGGCAGGGAGAGGCTCAATGAGGAGCCTCTAGCCGGGCAAGACCCATGGAAGTTGCTGAAGGAGCAAGAGGAGCGGAAGAAGTGTGTCATCTGCCAGGACCAGAGCAAGACAGTGCTGCTGCTGCCCTGTCGGCACCTGTGCCTCTGCCAGGCCTGCACCGAAATCCTGATGCGCCACCCTGTCTACCACCGCAACTGCCCGCTCTGCCGCCGGGGCATTCTGCAGACCCTCAACGTCTACCTCTGAGAACTCCCTCCCTTCCTGCCCTCCTCCAGCTCCACGCACCACACAGCCGCCTGTGCTAGGACGGCATCAGCATTATCACCGGACCTCCGGGTCCTGGCCTGAATCGCCTTTTGCCCTGCGGCTGTCATGCCAAGCCTCCAAGCCATACGTCTAGGACATGGAGATGGGACACCCTGGAAGACAGTGACCTGGGTGGGGGCGGGATAGCAGCTTCTGTTTCCCAGTGGGTCCCTGCGATGCTGAGGGAGGCATGTCACTCTGTCACGCCCTGAGTCTGTTTGTTGTGGCCTCCCCTCCAGATGCCAGCCTCTGGGGCTCCTCCTCTGCTTCTGTTTTTGTTGTTGTTGTTGGAGATTTGCAGGTCCTCTCCCTAGCTTCTGTAGCCACAACACATCAGTGTTATTTGGGTATTTTGGCAGCTCAAGGGCCTTGGGATGTTCTTGAACCTTTGCTTTTAGCCAGAACTCCTGTGCCGGGCAGGTTTTGGGGGTGGTGTTTTGCAGATGCCCTTAGAGCTACCACTTTTGCCTGCCATGATCTTCTGAAGCTCCCTCCCAACCTCGTCCAACAGCTGGGGTCAGAAGTTTACCCGTGTGCGTGTGTGTTTGTGTGTGTGTGTGTGTGTAGCTGCACCTGGCTTTGGGACCATGAACCCTCGCATCCCAGCTCCACTGGGAGCCTCCGGAGAGGCAACCAGATTTCTATCCCTGTCCTTTCATTCCCCACATCACAGGGAAAATGGCATTCCCCTCTGCCTGCCTCTCCCTGGCACCGCGAGGGCAGACTGTGCACATTCCACTAGGGTCCAAACAGTGGGGCCAGGGCAGGGGCATGCAGTTCCCTGAGGGTCTTGTGGCTCTGTTTCCAGTGAATAAAGTTTGTTGACAACCCTGACAGCCTCTGTGCATCCTTGCAAGGGTGAGCAGTTGGTCAGCGTGACTGACACTACAGCAGGCCCTTCAGTCCTGCTAGTGACCAGAGTGATCTGTGGGGAACCGGTGGGGGAGAGGGAAGGTAGGATGGGAGCCCTGTGCCTTGGGGAGACCCACGGTGTGGCTGGATTGGCTTTTATCAACTCAATTTGTGTCCTCACGTGAGCAGCCTTTGGAAAGCCCTCCCTCTCTTCTATTTTTGCTAGAAAGCCCTGGTAGAGAGAAGTGGGAGCTTTCTCATCCCAGCTTTCCCTCTGTGCCGCTCTTCCCAGGAGAGAACTTGGGGTTCCTCCTGCCTGGTGTCCAGTCTACTCTCTGGTCCCTGGAGAAGCAGGTGCTTGTCTTTCTTGGCACAGAGTGACACTGATGGGACCTGGTGGAGAGCAGGGAGTTGAAGTTCAATACTCTGGAGGCCTGTCTCCAGCTCACCCCAGTCCCATTGGTCATATCTGCCCTCATCTGACCAGCAAGAGAGGGGAGCATGCCCCATAACTGTATTTAAATCTCGGAGTGGAATGCCAGGGACAGCCTCCTGCAAGTGGGGAAGAGGGAAAAGGCCAGCAGGAAACAGAGCCCCTCTACCTTCTCGGGGTGAGAGGCTGAGCTGATAGGGGCCTTGCAAGCCCCGGTTTGTTAGTTACTGGGTTGGGGTGTGGGACTAGGGCTGCTTCTGAAGGTCAGAAGAGGGGAGCTTTGAAGGACTCAGACTTGGCACAGCCCACCCAGGCCACCGGGGCTATGCCCAGCGCAGCAGGGGTAGGGGGGTTCATGGAAACCTCCACCTTGGAGTTGGGAGGCCCGAGGGAGGCCTTTTTCTACCCGTCCCTCCCCCTCCCAACCCTGGAGAGGGAGCTGAAGGAGGAGAGCCTTGGCTATGCACGCTGTTTAAAGTGAGGATAAACGGTTTAGGAGGAAAGATAAACTTCCTGAGCTAGCAGCGGAGGACTCCCCCTCCACCCCTGTCAGGAATTCCATTGGCCAACCTCCATATCCTGCCTCCGCCAACCAGCCTCGGAGTCAAGAGCTCAAGCTGCCCTAGCCGGCTCAGTGCATAGAGCGTCGGCCTGCGGACTAAAGGGTCCCGGGTTCGATTCTAGTCAGGGTACATCCCCGGGCTGCAGGCTCGATCCCCAGTGGCAGGCATGCAAGAGGCAGCCAATCAATGATTTCTATCTCACCCTCTTCCTACCTCTCTGAAATCAGTAAAAAATAACTCAAGCTGCCCAGGGTCATGGCTGCATTCTAGAGTGGGGGCGCCCTCTTGTGGTCACCTCAGAAACTACTCTCTAGACCCCAGGGACACTCCACTCCCTGGAAATAGGGGGTGAGAGAGAAGCAAGCAGCCTTCCTCCCAGCCATCTAGGGACCAAGCGAGCAGCTTGAAAATGGTCAACGAAAAACCCGGGCTCCGTTTCTGTTACCAGAACAGGGGTGTGTGTGTAAAGGCAGCCCCTACCCAGGGCATAGGACACCTTTGAGTTCGGACAAGTGGCCAGAGCTCCCTGCCAGAGGGTGCCTTCCTCAGCGAGGGACTCCTGACGACCTACACGGGCTCTCCCACGGGGCCTCTCCTGTCTCTCCGGCCCTCGGCGCATCCAGCCGGGAGCCCTCCCCTCCTCCCCTGTCTCCTCACTTTCCCCATCCTCAGGCCCAGGGCATCTCCACCACCAAAGACGGGAGCCGAGCCAGGAGGGGTTTGTAGATTTATTGAATGGCCTCTACTGAAAGGGCCAGGAGCGGAAGCGGGCAGGGGAGAAGGAGAGAAGCGGAGTCCCAGGGAGAGAGCACCCCGCCTGCCAGCACAGCGCACTCCCTGGGTCTTGGGCAGAACCACCGGTGCCCGATGCCGAGGCCCTGACTCAGACAGCCTGTCCCCACCCCCTGCCAGCAGCGGGCGCGCCCCAGGCACCCCTCGTCATTCACAGCATTGGGGGGGCCAGCCTTCCCGGAGGACGTGGTGACACCCCGCCCCTGGGAGTGAGAGCAGCAGGCGCACTGCCCGCGGACGTCAAGCGAAGACGGGGGAGCCGTGCCAGTCGGAATACACCAGGAACCCGGAGAAGGTGCTGTCCGTCTTGACGCTGGCGTAGATGCCGACGTAGTCGCCCACCCCGACCTGCACCCACACCTGGTCCTCGGGCTCCAGCCTCACCATGGCGCCGCCCGACAGCGAGGCGGGCTTGGGCCACCCCCCGAAGAACTGGAAGAAGGAGGCCACGGACTCGCCGTTCTTGACCAGGTCGAAGTGCAGGCTGGCGCGGTAGACGGTGGCGTGCACCGCGAAGTAGTAGACGCCGGGCACGCGGCAGGTGAACTTGCCGGACGCCGCGTCGTAGTGGCCCTGCTCGTTCAGCAGCACCA